TAGAAATGTTTTTGAAAGAATAAAAATAATGCAAATTGTAGAAATGAATTAGACAATAATGAAACGCAATGAATATGCAAAAAGAATATGAGGAAATCGGTTGAGTTACTTGCGTAGCACAGGTCCACGAATGTAGTTCAGTATATCAAGCCTCTTTTTATGCGATCCTACCACCGATCCATTCCAAAAGCGTTTAAATGCTCGGTACTTTTCTATTTTCGACAAATCAATTGAAATCTAAACGAAGAGCGATTGGCTTGCCTCAAACGACTAATATTCTGAGAACAGTGATGATAATGACGAAATCAACAACAACGATAACTCTTCAGGCTTTATGGTTAGACAACTGGACGCAAACCAAATCATGTCCTAGTCAAGACTCGATAACATCAAGAACATTGGCACATCATTCGGAACTCCCTCTAACTCCCATCCAAATTGACGCAGCAAAGTTTTGCTCAAAACCGAATGGCCTACTAATATTACTGCTGTTAAGACAAACATCAGCTCGTAATCAATAGCATGAGCCATGCATGAACAGTTTCAGATAATTTAATAAAGATCGCCTGACTGACAAAATTACCACAGTGAATTCTAAATGGCTTGTCTTTCATTGCATAGCAAGTGCTGAAACTTTGAAGACATTAAAAGATCAAACATCACTGAGAGGAACNGAACCTTCAGTTCTGTTGGATATATTTCATATCCACACCATCTTACACATCCATGCTCATCGATCACCGAAATTTGCGATTTCAGATCATCAGATAAATCTGCATCGAAATTGATTGTGGTCTTATTGAGAGCCCCTTTGATGCCATACACATCTCTATCACTGTCTTGCTGAACGCATAAGATACCTTTCAAAAACTGAAACAATTATCATTGACGAATAATCTCTTCTTAATAAATCTATCCTTCTTGACAAACTTGAAGAAGAAGCCGTAAGAGTCACTCGGACGGTAGTAATTTCTCATTGATTATCACGCTTCGCGACGTTTCCGTATGGAGTGAACCACCGACAAATAATAGCCACATCAAGTACTTCAATGGGTTGAAAAATTAAATTAAGCATGAAAGATTAAATAAACGATCTCAAAAATATACTCGATTGGCCACATCAATATCAGCAGTAAGAAGTAAGTAATCGTCAGCGTAACGAAGGAATAAACAATCACGTCTTCTCAAAATATCCGGATAACGTTCCCTTTCCATAGCGCCCAAATATAAATTGGAAAGTCGCGTGGAGAGTGGATTTCCTTGAGGTATACCTCTTCCTCTCGTATAGCATCGATTTCTGAAGAAAAACTGAAAAGAGCGACAAACATAATCAATCACAGTTTCCAAGTTGTTCTTAGTGAACCAAATGAATTGACCACTTCACAAAGACCTTCTTCAGAATTTGGTGCTATTCTCCTTGACTAAAAAAAGCGCTGTCTGCTGCTAAC